TAATATAATTAACATTTTAAATGCAAAGTATTAAACATAAAAATTGTGGCAAAATTGAATAAAAACACATTAATAAAGATAATAATGCAGCAATTACGTCAATCATATTGAAACAATCGATAAAACAGAAGATATGTACGTAAATCAATAGACAATATATTATAATATGCAATTAAAATCTCTGTGTGTGTTTTATTTAAATCAATTCAAATTTAAAAAGAAAATGAAATAAAAAAAATTGCAATAAAATTAGAATAATCTTTATTAAAGACGTTGAAATCTTTTTTTTTTTTTTTTACTTTCTTGCGAAGAAATAATAATCTTAATAACGAAAAATCCAATTTGTACTACAAATTACAATATCTCTAATTACGACAATCGCACGTTTCACTCGCAAAATATGAAGGCACGATATATCCCCCGAGTTTATCCTCCCTTTCATCCAATCTCGACCAAAGCTACGCATACGTTCGCGTATTTAATGCACCAATCAAGTCTCGGACAGAACGAGAGACTGTCAGAGGCGAGAAGTTCGTCCAAACGAGCACGACGAAGATATTTTATCAGTAAGCATCGAGATCACCGCCGATAACTGACGACGCGAAACTCTACATATATAAATTCTCCGCCTCTCTACCCGATTTCGTATATTTTCGCGAAAATTCTACTCCTTCTCTCTTTTTTCTTGAATTAACAACTCATTTTTAGATTTACAATCAAACCTACTGTTTCTCTTCTTTTCAAGAAAGATGATTCAATCAAAGATAATATTTAGATATTACTAATTTAAACGCTCCTCATTATACACATAAAACTATATATAATCCAAAAAAAAAAATATATACTGGAATTTCATCGTTTTTCAATTTCGAAACCATCAAAGAAACGTTGACGAAAGAAAAAGATTTCGATAATCGAAACACAAAGTAAATCGAGGATCATCATCGAATTGTGATCCGTCAACGGATCCTCTTTTCCAGTGACAGTTTTAATAATCGAGCATCGGCAAGTCCAGAGTAAGATTATCGCGGCGAGACGATCGGCCCTCGGTGCTCCCGTAATTTGTGTTTTCGTTATTGCGTCCGATTCCTGTTCCCCAAAGGCACGGGGAGAACAACGACGGTATCTGGTGTCGCGGAGCAGCCGAGAATGCGAGAAACCTCCGCCGCGTGTGGAACAGGTTCTTCGTTTTCCGGGGGCAGATCGGTGTTCGCTTGTTACCGCGGACGGAGAGGAGAAGAATGGAGAAAAACGAAGAATTAAGAGGGAACGAAAGGAAAGGAGGAACGAAAACAACGTGTGTATATATATATATATATATATATACGTGTGTGTGTGAGTATGGGTGCGCTCGAACACCGAGAAGGGCGAGTACACGTGTGTACACGGCGCACAAACACCAGCGCGTACGCGCACTAATCGCATCGAGCGAACTTGTTGGAATTAATTGGTCCGGCCAATTAACGCTCACGGCCTGAAACGCGTCGAGGGCAATGAAGGCGCACGATTGGCCTGTCCCCCGCCACCCTTCGACGCTCGATATCCTTCGGCACCGAGCGAGCTTCCTGCGAATCCCCTAATTAATTTCGACTCCGCGATCCTTCGCAGAAAATCGGATGCTATTCCGCGTGGAGGAACGATCCCCGTCACCTCGATCGATCGCTATCGGTTAGATCCTGGAAGATAGGTTTGTGGGAAAGTGCTTTTAAGGATAATTCGTTTAAGGCGTACATCGGGCAACGAATGGAACGGGTTTTAAAGTTATTAGACATTTAAATCGAATGAAGCGTAAATTAACTAACAGGAATAGTTTATCCTGGAATTAATTGCGAACCTTTGGCTTTGTATCCTAAAAAATCGTTTTCTCGAAAATTCTGAAACAATCGTGATTCTATATTTCCGTTCTTATGTATTTATTTCCATTTGGAATAGAGAGAAAGTTTGGAATAAGACGGTTTATTTAAGACGAGTAGAAAATTGGTTGGTATAATATCATAGGAAGATTGATAAACTTTTATATTTTAGATTTAGTAATAATGAAAAATGAAAAATAATCGAAACTTTGGTTTAATTGGTTTAAATAATATAAAATAAGGATTATAGCATAGTGTTCCAATTTATTTTTATTTTACGAGATTAAAAAAATAAATAAATAAGATTGTTTTCTTTTTATAATCTACAGAAATGCAAAAATCACAGTATAGAAATAATTATGATTCATCTACTTTTCCTATTCAAAAAAACTTGTTATAATTACTCATATGTCATTTAATATTGAATAATGTAGATTCATATTTAATATTAATTTACAAAAAATTAATAAACAGTTATATTAACAATGCTAATGTTTAGATTCATTATTTAATCTCATGAAATCCTTAGAACTTCCTCATAGAATACATATTAGGAGCTTATTCATTTATGTACAACTTTGGTACAAAAAATTGTTGCAAATATTTATAAATAATTATATTTTTCGACTATATTTATTCGATTCTTTAATAGTTAATCGCTGCTCTCTTTTAAAAACCGCGCCAAAAGTATAGAACGAATACGTAATTTAACACATAATCCATATTTCTTTCTTTTAATTTTTTCTTTTCTTAATATCCTTTATATACCTATTTCTTCTCGTATATTCAATTCATCAAAGAACGTTTAATAAATATCTTTTAATAAAAATTATTATTATCATTATTTGTAAAAAGATATTATTTATATGCTTTAATAACCGGAAAGGGATTGTGAAAGAAAAGGATATATTAGAATATTCTAGAATGGGCAGAAAACACAACTCTTAATCCCATTCAAAGGAAAATGTTACATCCCGCGATAACTCGATTATTATGGAACATATTGATTCATGTATGCTGCACGAAGCGGGGAGCAAAAAGCGAATTTGAATCGGCCGGTAAAACAATGAAATAACGATGTAATCTTCGACAATGGATGGCATAACCGGCCGTAGTCGCGCGTTGTCCGCTTGTTAACGATGAAATATTACGTATGTACGGCAGCTGTCATCTTACTTGTCCTTTGACGGCATATTTATACCGGTTTCACCCTGTTCCGCGGCGCCTGATCGCCGATAATGGATGCCCCTCGCTAATACGCCTCGTTTGCGAGACGCTTTTACGCTTCTGATTCCGTTGCTAACATAAGCAATCTAAATTTTCATACATAAGTAGAATCCCCGTCCAATTATCGAGTATTTAAATATCGAATACAAGAGAAATGGAGAAAAAGAAAAAAAAAAAAAGAAATAGAAATCAAATCATTAAACTCCGAATGAAATTCAAAACTAAAAACATGGTCGTTACGAATAGTTTTCCAATTCGACTGATTTATCCTGTGACACGAAAGATACGGTATCCCGTTATCGGGAAAATAAAAAAAAATAAAATAAAAACACGAAAAAAAAAAATTGTAACACGCGCGTGAAGTTAAAACCGCTCTTTTTGCGAGACAACCGAACCGGAAAGGTTTGAAACAATGTGGAAGTAGAGGGCTTATCGATCGCTTACGATTGATCGACGTGTATCGAAATCCTTCGTGGATCTAACAGACTGTCTTTCGCGGCACATTTATGCCGGGTTTCCACTGTGCATGACGTCCGATGGACGATAACCGGCGCGCGCACTAATACCACCAATCAGGAACAGAACGGGATCGGGAATCGGTAATCAGGATCGACGTTCGCGTTCTCCAAGAGGCCATTACTCAAAGATCCGACATACCGGCAAAATAGGTGTCACATGACGATTAAACCTGCCCAAAGCTGAATTTCTCGTTAACCTATCTGTGATTTCTAATATATATAATATACTACTAGTATACAGAGAAAATGTATTCGATCATTTCAAATTCTACACTATCCTATTTGCTTTTAGTTAAAAGTCAAAAGTCAAGAAAGAAAAAAAAAAGAATTCATTAATGATTCTGATTTCAAAATTAAACGAAATTTCAATGTTAATTCAAAATTGTATCTTATATTATATCAACAATAAATAGTTTTAAAGTTCAAATATATAAAATCAAAAATATAGAAATAAAAAAATGTATTCATCAAAATGAAAATCTAAATTTTTGTAAGAAAACGTTAAAGAAAAAAAGAAAGGAGAGCGAGAATTGTTAGCGGTAGTGACGAGTTTTCGATTGAACCATGATCATCGTGGAAAAACACGAAGTGAGAAGAAGAAATGGCGGATCCGTTTAACAAGGTGCTTCGCCTACCGGATAATACATAAGGGGTATTAAGGCCGCTACTCAATTGGGTATGAGCTCACCGAGAGGTGGACGTCTCAATTTTCTTCGCGACTTAATGACCGATCGTTAAAACCCGGCTTCGCCTCGAACCGGCTCCTCGCCGCACGAGAACGAGCAAGATAAAACGAGATGAACATATTTGCTCCTCTCTCTTACGTTCTTACTCACATTCTCATACTAACACATATCGACAATTCTCGTCGTTCTAACGTAATCATGAACTTTCTGTTGTAATGATATTTACAAGTATCGAAAGATTTCGCCAATTTCTCGTCATAATTTTACTTTTGTTGCTATAGATGAATATCTAAATATAATATACATTCATAATACAACTAAAACTATCGTATTTTATTTTGATCAATCTCATCAATTTTCTCTCGTTTTCGTATATTTTATATCAATAGAAATCGTATTTTTTTAATGATTAGGACTAGATATCGTTTCAAAACAACTCGTTAGATATTTTTTATCGTAAATATTTTTAATTTCCAGATAGTGTTGCATATGCATATTTTATGGTTATTATGTATTCGAATATCGTAACTGAATTTATGAGATTCGCTAATTTTATGATTATTAATTTTAATTTGCATTGGACGGCTATTGAATTACTCATTACTATGATATAGGATTAACTTTATGTTTCATTTTAAACAAGAATTTCTTTTAATTTGATAATACTACGCCATATTACTTACGAAAAAGAAGAATATTTCTTTAAAATACTTTATCCTTATCCAGATATTTCGTATTGTTGTTCTGTTCCTACACTTTCATCTTCAAAAAATTGTTTAAATTATTTTTATAAAAAAATTATATGCACTGAATATAATTAACACACACATTTCGATGTGACACTGAAAATATCAAAACCGTTTCATACCGAAATCGCCCTCTAGTGAACAAAATTTAAATGATTTACTTTAGCGCCACTTACTCTACAGTCGATACATCACATTCTACATTCTACAGTCGATATGTCTTTTTAACAATAAATAAATAATATAAAAAAAGTTAATAGTAACATTTACATTTTTACAACGTCTTAAATTTAATAATATTTGTCAAGTATTTGTTGAGATATGTCGTACATCCATTGAAGACTCTGCTAAAATAATATCAGAAGAGCTTGCTCGATCTTCTGTTAGTCGAATTTCCGGAGCGCTGCGAGCGCGTACTGTTCCCGATTTCCATGTATCTTTAGTTTGAACTTCTCGTATAGCAGTATTGGAGTACCCTTTTAATTTATTCGATCGAATTTTAGATACTAATTTTACATCTCCAGAATAATTGACGAAATTTTGAAGATCTGATGGTTTAGTAAATGATAAAGTTTTTTCAATTTCATTTTCAAATAAACTAAAAAAAAATTAATTATATATAGTCACTTTTTAAGAAAATAAGAATGCAGAATAGATATTAAAATAAGACAAAAAATTTATTTAAAAAAATGAATCAATATATTGATTTCTATTATAAAATAAATAATCTTACTGAATCGGTATCCATTTTGTAGATTCTTTACTACATTTTTTTTTACTTTGTTCTGCTAATTTCGCAATAATATTTGCATCTACATTTATTGATTTCGGTTTTTGCACACAATTCTTTAATCTCTCAATATTTAAAGTCAAATGTTGTATTTGTACCTTAAGTGTCGCATTTTCATGAACTAATCGTGCATTTCTTTGTACCACCTGAGAGTCCACACAATAAACAATTTCTTTTAATGAAAAATATAAAAAAATTATAGGATCGAACAATGATTAAAAATAACTGCAACTTTAAAAAGTTTACCTGTAAAAATCTTGCTTTACTTAAAGGCAGAGGCTCTTGAAACTTTTCGGATACAATTATATTAAGTTCTTCTCTTGCTTCATCTAGTTTCTCCATCATATCCGTTATTACTTGCAAGTGTTCCTTCAACAATTGATCAAATTTTTGCCTCAACGAATCTTTAGCATATTTCATTCGCAAAAACTTTATACATAAATTATATGTTGTTTCGATTTTCTCATTTAATTCTTCTCTAAGCGACTTATTCTCATCTTCCAAACATTCTCGTATTATCTCAAATTCTTTTCGTTGTTGGTGTAATTTCGAAGCACCACTTGCACATCGTGTCTTCTGTCTTTGTATTTCATTATTAAAAGAGTCCTTTTCTTTTTGATAGAGAAACCTCTCATCATCCAACTGCTCTAAAATTAAGTCGATGCATTTAAAGATCGCGATGAACTTAAATGATTTTTTTGTAATCTTACGTTTGAGGTTCTTGATATGTCTTTGTTGTTTTTTCAATTCAGTCGACAATCGCTCATTTTCTCGTTGCATTTTTTGCAATTGTATATCTTTTATTTGTATAATATTTTCTAATGATACAACCGTTTCTTTTAGGTCTGTCACCTTTAAATTATATATTAAAATTATTAATTAATTATCGATATAAAATGATTAAAAATCGCCTACTTGTTGACATAAATTTGTTAATTCCTCGTTGACGACTTGACATTGTGCATTCGAGCAAAAAATCTTCACATCTGGGCCCTTGTTCAGGCTGTTCTTAGAACTAATATTCTGCATATCATAATAGCAAATATTACGTTCTAGCGATGAACAGCAAAATTTTCTTGACCTTGAACCACATCACATCAAAATGTTTCGTATTGTTAACTTTGTTAACGATATTTCGCTTACCTCAAGTTTATCACCAATAAAACTTAATTACTGAAATAATTTACAAATATTGTAGGTTGTTCGTTTGTAAACAATCATAGGATTCTTCTAACAATACGAACCAATATATACCTCAAATATTGAAAATCATTAACATGTTTGTATTTATTTCTTCGAGGATTGTATAAACAAACAATTTCTTTCCCTCACATAATGACGAAAAATCACTTTCATTAAATTATTAGATATCTTTGATTGTATTAACAAATGATAAACGCTTAAACGTCAAAAATTTTTAACCTACAAGTATATAAATTTTTCTTATATGATCAAAAAAAAAGGCATTTAAATAAAAATTACATCATGCAATACTGATTAAAAGTTGTGAAATTTTTTATTGTATCGTATATGTACAAAATAGGTGTACAGACTACTTATCAATCGCATGGGCGCGTTTTATACACGCTTTATATATGCTATTATCGCATATAACACTGATGTAAGAGCATCACATTGTGTAGTACACCTGTGTAACCTCCTCTTCTGTTATCTTTCATCAAATGGAATGAATGTCAAGATGACGCGTAAATATGTTTCTTCTTTTTTTTTTTTTTCTTTAATTCTGATCTCATTTTTTACCCTCTTTACAATTATTAATAACATTCTAGTATAAGGGTTCTGTGACTATTACCCCTTCCCCATCTTGTACACACGAAAATAATAAATTACACTGGAACGTTATCTTCGAAATTTGTTTTTTTTTTTTTTCTTTAAAGAGCATAGTAATTCATTTTTTTGTGAATCGCGATTACATGACTACATTAGAATAGTGTATATTCGCATCACTGGAAGTGTTGATGTGTGAACACGGTATCGGAGAAGACAAAAAAGGAAATAATACGAATATACCTCACTGTAGGTCCGCCCGTGCTTTCCACTAATTTTATTAACAACAACTGGGCCAAATATCTGTTTCTTTTCACACTTCATTTTAAAAAACGTGTTCTTCTATTATCTTATGAATTTTTTGATAGTTTTAATCATTTTTTTTGTTTTTATTTTTTCATTTTTTTTGTTTTTTCTTCTTTTAACAGCATCGTAACGAGATAAAATAAACTAATAATATATGCGGTTGGCTCTCAGAAGAATGCCCTCTGAACTTTCATTTTCATAAAATTTTGTCAAAAAAATAATTTTTGATTCGTATAATCCTTAATATCTCGTAGTTTTCTTAATACGTTTTAAGGGTCACTCTTCTAAGGCAATTAAAAAAAAATATTTGATTAGATGTTCAAAAAATATTTAATATTATTTAAAAAAAATTCCACTTTCTATTCGCAATAAATGTTATATGAGTTCACAAACATGTTTATGAAATAAAAAATTGTAACGTTATTTTTCATAAAGTACATAGTGTGATATCTTATAATATTTTATTGGTCCAGTTGTGTTGTAGAAACGTGGAAGGCAACGTCTTTTGTTTGATAATCTGGTGAAACGATACTAGATTCGCACAAATGCGGATGATAATGATGGACTTACGCTTATTAGCCTAACTTAAAAGTTTGTTGTATTTCAATAGTAATAAGGCTGATGCTTATTTTTTCTTGTTCTTATTAGCTTGATTTTTGTATTTGGCTGCAGTTGTTAATTTGGCATTCTTCTTCTTGGGTTCATCTTCATCATCTTCCTCATCTTCTGGCTCCTAACATGTTAAAATAATAAATAGAATATAACTACGGAAATAGTTCATAAACTTTTAGGTATCATTATGATAAAATGAAAACCTAGAAGTGAAATTTTATTTTATAAAAGATCATATTCTTTACTGACATTCTAATGTATTTCTATTTCCTATAATACCAAAACATAATTCGAAAATAAATATGGAAAAAAGAGGAAGCATGATATGTAAGGAATAAAAGCAACTGTTTTAAAATAGGATGATTTATTATGCAAGAAAATAAAAGACACATGGAATGAAAACACAAACGCAGAAAGTTATATCCACGACTTTCATTTATTCCTCAATCTTCAGAGCCCTCCCGCCCCCCAGAAATTTTAATATTCATATAACGTGATTTTAAAATATTCTTGGTAAAACTTGTTTTTTGGATGATGATTGAATAGCAGCATTTTAATATTAGGATTCTATTTGTCTACAGCTTCATCCAGTTTGGCACGCTTCGTGCCATTTTTTTTACCCTCTGCAGAATGCTTTCTTTTCTTTTGTGGTGCCTGAAATTTGTATTCCTAGTATATAGAAAATGAAATACTAACACTTTTGTTAATATACATAATAAAAGCATAACAAAAGATATGATCATATCAAATTGATTTATATGTATGTAATTGCTTCAGTCGAAAATATTCTGCATTTTCCTTATATCAATTGTCAAAAAATTATGCAAGCCTAATTAGAATGTCAGTTATGAATACAATCTTCCCTTTACTTGTAATTTTTTAACTAACTTTTAATATGTACATGTATAGTATATACAATTAATCTAGAGGAAACATTATGTTTGTACCTTATCATCATCATCATCATCGATGTTCTCTTCCTCCATTTCATCATCCATATCATCAAACTCCTCCATATGTGTACCTGAAAAATGCGAAATAATACAATATTATTTAGTTTAACTTTTTTCATTTTATTCATTCACTTTTCCTAAGAAAATAATTTCCATGATTAAACAATTATTAAATAACTATATTTTTTAAAATTTAATTTTTAAAATTATATTAAGATTTTATTTTTAATATAATTTAATATCTTTATTTTTAATATAATTAATAAACTTTATAATTTCATTTAAAAATTCATCTATACTTATCACAACTGTTAAAAGGCGTCCAGTTGTAATTATCGCCTTCTCTCTGTCTTTCTCTCTCTTATATATAATGTTTAATTCTAATATGATTAAGTATTTAAGAAAAATATTAGCATAATATACTTTAATATACATTCTATTGGTAAATATCTACATATCATAAATTAAATTTTTGTTATTATAAGTATTATAACTTTAAGATAATAATAAATATTAGAGATTATTACCAAGTAGATTATGTCCTACTATGTGAACAGGACCACTTCCTTTAACCAAAGTAAATGTGACTGGAGGATCAGGAAAACTGAGATCTAAAATAATCTGTGCTGTTTTCCCCATCTCCAACAAAGCAATTGGTGTTTTGATGGGTCCTTTTAGTCCCATTGCTTCAACTTGTAGTACATTCAGTTCACCAGGTTTAGCCTCTGGACCTAAAAGAGCCTTTTAAAAAACATATAAAGCTAATTAAAATTTAATTTTATTTGAAACTGATATATTGATCAGAAATAAAAAGTAAATATATATACATAAAAAATAAAAATTTATATAAAAACAACATATTTATAATAATTATATATTTTTTTATAAAATATCTATTATTTATATGAAAGTAAAAATTTTTATATTTCAATCAATTAAAAATAAAAAAAATAAACAATTAAGAATATTTTTAAAAAGAATGAACTTGGCAAACATTCTTCATTATAGATTTATAAACATTAAATTGTTTATCTAAAATTAATGAATAGTTTTATATTAAAATATACTTAAACAGTGCATTTACTAAACAAATATCAACATCACAAATTTTCATGCTTTTGTTTCTCGAAAATTCGAAAATAAAAAGAGGTTATTTTATCATAAAAAAATAAAAAATGAAATTTATAATAAAAATTAAATTTTTATAAAGATATTAATTTCACATCGTGATTAAAAATTCGCGCGCAAATGTAACGAAAGGTGATGAAAGCGCTCGAAAAATCGGGATTACTAGTGACGCCAAATATTGGTCATATATTTTTATACGGTTAATAGATAGATATAAGAAGTTGCGCTAAGCTGTTCGTACTGAGTCAGAAATTTATATCCAAATAAATCAACGATATACATCGTAGAACAAATAGAAACCATTTGCTATGAAATCGCGCGTTCATGAAAATTCTTTATTCTTCATAGAACATGGCAAAAAGCAAACGAAACGTACGTAATGTATCAAAGAGCAATAAAATATAATTTAACTATTCAATGTGCTCCCATCGATATTTTTTACTTACCATTTTTATGATCAGCTTCTGATCGGCACCAAAATGTTGGTTTGTGCCGTCTGCGTCGTCGTTCTTGTGCTCTGGATCCCATACCTCGCTAGAATTAAGTCCTTCGAGAGTGATTCCTGGACACACAAATCACAAAAGTACGCACAGGGAATATCATAAATGCTTGCCGTTATATCATAGTTTGATAAAAAACGCAAGTTCATTAGCTCTTTAGGGGACAATGGGAGTTCGTCACAATGGCCGAAAACCAGCCGGCGTCTCAACCATAGTACCGCTCGCGTCGAATGGCCAATGACGACGAAAGTAATCGCGTGCGCAACAAAATAAAGGAGCCACAACGTTCACAATAACACGGCTTCTGATATTTACCATAAAGATACTCTTCCGCCATGACGATCGACTTGATATTAAAGGATTCTCGTTAGTGGATGTATAGAAGGACACCGTTGGAGTGTGCGTGCCGAACGAGAGTAGAGAAGCTAAAGACGCCGCGCGCACAACGGTCACTGCGCGAAGAACAGTGGTCGCACGTGCTAGATGAACGCGTAGCAAATGAGTTTCGCGTACTCAGCCTTGCGCGCCTAGAATACGTTCTTTTCTTTGATTGGTCGATGCACTTTCAACTATTCTGAACAGCGTTGCCATCTAATATCACAAACTACACTGAAGGCTTATGAAGGGTATTATTTACCCCGATTATTAAAGAAATAAATTAAATAAAAATGCAACAATTGTTTAATTTTAGATTTTTTATAATTTTTTTTAAATATTAAATTTAAGAATTGTAAAAAATAATAAAAAATTAAACGCAAAAATTATTTCTAAAGCAAAGACATTGGAATAAAGAAATTAATTATTCTTTACTTGATATTAATATAGAAAATTTGATTAATAATAATTTATTCAAAGAACTATTGATTTTAAAATTTTTAATAGAAAATTTATAATTTTTAGAATTTTTAGAATAGTAAAAAATGTAATTATTTATCATATTTATTTAAAAAAAGAAAATTATAAAAAAAATTAACTATTATAATTGTTTATATTAAAAAGTAAATAAAATAAAAAAGTAAATAAAAGAAAAATATTTTTTTATGAAATATATTAATTTTAAAAAATTATTTCAAAAAGATTAATGAATAACAATAGGGTTTAAATGAAAAATTTGGCAACGTTGTACTTAACGACTATTAGTCTTTGTAAGCCCTGGTGGTAAAATATGAAACTAACATTGACATACTGACTGCATAAATATCGGACGCAACACGTGAATTATACTTAAATTGAATAATAGCACAATGAAAAAAGTTTATATAAATAAAATAATTTCTATAATATAGTTAATGAAAATTCTCTAAGAGATTTTTGACAATTTTATGAAAAATCATAATTGTATTTTGGGAGAAGTTATAGTCCTCAGTCAACCACAGGAACTGATAAAAATGCAAGCCAATATGATTATTCTAACTTGTTTACTTTTGTTACCAACGATTTTTGGAGACATTGAAAAAAATGAAACAACATTTGTTCCAACTCGAGAATGGCAAACTGTGAAAAAAGGTAAGTAAATATTCATTTAATTTCGTTATACGTACGTTTTGGGACTACTTTTTTACGCAACTCATTGTGTGCTCTTCCTAAGACCACGTCAGTCAAATTTGACATCGCGGTTTTTTATGAGAAAATAAATCGTGATTTTTAAAGAGAAACCATTTTTCTTCTAAATTCATTAATTTTATAATAATTTTTATATGAATGTAATATCTTTTATTATTTAAAATATATACAATATACTAAAATTTGATAAGTCATAAATTATATACGGCAGTAACGTACATAAAATTTTATTTAAAGGTGCAAATAAATTTTGCTTTGACATTTTAATTACGTATTTATGTAAAATTCAATTTATTGTTTTATTATCATTTTTTTTTTAAAATTATTCACTAGGTACACCAATACCTGGAGGATTACATGTACGACATAATTTTCAAACTGGAGTAACAGAAGCTAAATTAATGGATTCTGAAGATGTTGAAGAAAAAGATTTAAGTGAAAATTTGAATAGTACTAATATAAATTCTTTAACATTACATCCTGAAAAAGCAATTTTTGAAGAAAAAGATCCTACGGAAAAATCTAATTTGTTTCATCATCCAATTGAAGAATTGAAAGCTAGATTAAAAAAAATTAAACAAAATAGTGGAGAAAATATTCCAGAACTAGATGTAATTATAATCAGTATATAACTAATCAATAAGAAATAATATTTCTAAATTATTTTTAGGATGAACATACACAACAGATAAAAAAAAAGTTTAAAGATTATGAAACTTTGAAAAAAGAATTTAAAGCACTTGAAATAAATATTACAACTGATTCAGAATTGTTAAACAACTATTTTCAAAAGTTTCATGTTCATAAAAATGCAATTACCATGGGAACTTTAACAACTGCAGAAACAGAAGAAGTTTTGGATATTTTATATAATCTAGAATATCTACTTCATCAAATTGATAATGCCAAAGTTTTTGCTGATATGCAAGGGTATGTATTAATTTTTTTTTTAATGGATAGTTTTTTTATAGTTTTTTAATTATAGCATGAATAAAATTATATCTCCATGTCTCAATGGAACAAACAATGAAATAAAGGCTGAAGCTTTAAGACTTTTGGGTGCAGCTGTTCAATCTAATCCTAAAGTACAATTAAAAGCTCTAGAAAATGATTTTGTTCAAAAACTTTTACATATATTATCTACAAATAATAAAATGAAAATAAAATCAAGATGTCTCTTTGCTTTGAGTGCTTTAATAAGACAGTTTCCAGCAGCACAAAAAGTGTGGATTGATCATGGAGGAGTAGAAATATTTGGAAAAATTTTAATTGATGATCAGTTGCAAGTACAAATAAAAGTTATGAGATTGATTAACGATTTAATTATAGAGAGACAAAACTTAAATGAAATTACCGATGCTAATCAACAATTAAAAATAAAAGCATATGCAACTGCAGATATTGAAAAAAAATTATTAACATATGAATATTGTAATCATTTGAGCAATTTAATGATAGAAAGTTTTAAAGGTGAACATAGTGATCAATTGAGGACTGATAATTATGAATTTCTTGAAACTATTTCTGATAGCATGATTACAATTGCTCCTATTTGTATTGATCGGTTTAGAGAAAATAAAGATGAATTGCTTCCTATTATTCGGCATTTATTAAATTTTTATCAGAACTTGAATTTATTAATGGATAAACTTCAAACAACTGGAAATTCACGTGATGAATTATGAACAAAAAAAAGAAATGAAATTAAATGTGTGTAAAGACAGTATGATTATTTATTTTGCGTCGTGAAGTTATAATTGTACAAAGTTTTGTGTGTAATGAAATTCTTTTGGCATAGATACTTTTGAATATCAGTGGATATTCTACAAAAATCGTTACTAAATATAAATTTGGTAACATAGTTTTAAGTTGAATACAAATATAATGTATTATAAGATGAATGTATGTATATAGTCAAATTTGGAATTTTTCCTGTACATATAATGCTAAGATATTTGAGTTCTTTATCTAATAAATTGAGAATGTTATATTTATTGTGTTTAGAAAAGATTATTTAATAAATTATTTTATATCGTATATCTTTATATTGTATAGAAAAAAAAAATGATTCCAAGATCTGTGTATATTAAATTATTATATTATATAGAATAAAATACTTTATTTACAAATAATAATGATTACATATGAACGATTTCCTCTCGTGTAGTCATAGTTTATAGAAAATATACTTGCCGAATCGTTTAAACTAGTTGCCGGTTGAACTAGTTTCATACGTTCCGAATTTCTATTTACACGTGCTTAAAAAAAACACTATCAAGTGTTTTGTTGTGAAAGAATAATCCTTTAAGTACAAGGATTGCGTTTATTTTGCTCGATATATAAAATCCTTAAATAATATATAAATTTACGGAGAATAAGATGGAATCTCCTTCGATTTAATATCTAATCTAATTCGCGAATTCCTCTAAAATACTTGCCTTTAATTTCTCAAATTTTATTAAATACAGTGACGCTATATCTACATACCAATTTTACAGATTTTACATAATATTTGTTGCATATTGTTTCTGTTGTGATTTGATATACAAACTTTTATATATATATATATATCTTTAAGAATATGTTTTTTGTTGCTTTTATAATAAGATGATAGAGAATGCAATATATTATTTACAATATTGTAGGAACATAAAATATACATTTGTTAGAATGCACGTATCGTACAAACCGATACATGTATCCGAAAATACATTTATCTTTCTGTGCGTAATTTACAAAATTTTTTTGGAATTTCAAGATTTTTTTTAACAGTAAACAAGGAAGCATAAACATTATGTACATGATGATCTGTTTTACAACATGAAAGTAAATACTGGTTTTACAGTAACGCCTAAATAACAAAGTTTAAGTGCAAAGTAAGTTGATATAGAAACGGAATGACGTTTTATATAACATGTTTTCGATAGTTTACGGAGGAACATACGTATATTCACGTATAAACTATGTCAAGTTTATAACAGTAATTTTTGATATAACAATATAATTCGATAATATCAAATTACTAATAAACAATTGAAGTATATAAAAATAATTCAGATTTTTTTTTTAAATGTTTTTTACTATTAAAAAAATAATGTTAACTATTGTAACTAATATTACTATTGTAACTAATATTACTATTGTAATCAATATTCAAAGATGTAAATTACTGACATGAAAACGAAATGCAATTCCTAAAGAAAAGTTTTCTAAAGAGCAATTTAAACATAACAATTAGATAAAATGTAAAAATAGTAATTGCGTTCTGAATATATATATAATTATGAAGTGCTGTTTCAAACTAAACTCAGTACAAAAATTGAGTAATTTATACAGGAATTTGGTTAATCATTAACCGTCATTCCTCGTCTCTACCATTTTTCGGTGTAGATGCACCACGATTGAGCAATAAGTATTACATGACAAAATTTTCTATGGCAAATTTTAATTATTTGTTCGTACACGTATCAAGAGACATTAATATATAAAAAAAAAATTATACTCGATACGTGACGATATACATCAACAAATTACTAACTTTATTGCAAAAAGAAATAACTTATTAGTCGCAAAAAATTGTTAAAATTGCCATAATGATAATACCAAAAACTAATGCGACTAATTGTTTCAAAGATTCTTTAGGACTAGTTTCTTTAAGCAGTTCAGGTAGAATGGTCACCATGCCGATATGTAGAAAACCACCCGCAGTGAAAGGTAATATCCAATTCGTTTTTGCTCCTAAAAAAAAATTAAAAACATTGAATATGATGAATTGTTTTTGATAGTTTTAAAGAAACGCTACTTACCAACTTCGCTACCAGAAAAAAATACAGCTGACATGGCCCCAAAAATACCACCACTAGCAGTAAGAAGCTGCGCCCGCGCAGCATCCCATTTATTGAATCCACTGCGTAATAGAATCGCAAAATCGCCGATCTCGTGAGGAATCTCATGTATGAGAATAGCAAACGTAGTGAGAACACCTAAACGAAAAGATACAAGGAAAGAACCACCCACAGCCAATCCATGAGTAAAATTATCTATAATATTGGCTATCAAATTAAGATAGCCTGTTATATGTTTCGGCTTTTCCTTTTTAACAGTCTGTTTATCGTCAGAAACGTTGTCTGGATTATCTTTCTTAGAGCAATCTTTTAACAGATCAGTTGAAAAACCATTAGTTTTTGCAAGTTTCTTCAAACAATCTTTTGCTTCGTCTAATGGCAAACCTTTCAGAGTATTTGATAGTTTGTCGCACATTAATATTGGCTTGATGCCATTAGTAACAAAGCCATTCTTGTGTATATCTTTGTAACCGTTTGGCAATTGAGAGTATCCGTTCTTCTTTTCCAAGAAGGGCTGTACCTATAACAATAATACAAAATAATAACTATGTCATGTTTATAAATAATTCAATCATTTTTATAGAATCAACGAAATTACCTCATTAATAATTTTTGAAAAGTCATTGATAAATTGTTTTGAGAAACCATTCTTTGAATTACTTTCAATCAAATTGATACAATTGTTATTCTCTATTTTTTTTTCAGTTTCATCACTAATTTTATCGGTCAAATTCGCATTGTTCGCAGAAATATCTTCGCTTTCAGCTTCTTGTTCGAAGGCAAATAGCTTTTCCGCTATAACGAATATCAGAAAGCCTCCTAGTATCCATAGACCAGGAGTCGGATGAACAGCATCCGTTGCTGAAACAAAAATAATTTTGTAATCGAAAAGACATAATTTACAGATCTACACAATTTTAAACAATTTTAAACTCAGCACGGTCATCTATAAAAATAGAGGACAACAAAAGTGACTGAGAAATTGTAGGTGGATTAGGAATGAACCAGTTTAATTTAGGAGAGGGCAGTTGGCAATTGAAATCTGCAACTGAAGTACAATAGGGTTTCAGAACATCGTTTGAACCGTTCACAAAGCAGTCGACGGAGGTGAAGGATCGCCTCGAGTCACGCTTAGCATAGATCTAATATGATGAATTATAGCCTGAAGCTTAAATGGTGTTATTACAATTTAGATATATAGTTTCCGATTGAAAAGAAATTCATATAGTTACGTATTCAATATGAGTCGTGTATAATAAAATCAAAAATACAACATAATAAATGAAAAACTTATCAAGGCAAAAATAATAAAAGCAGTTAGCCGTATCTTGCAACGACGTTTTTAACGATATAAAGAGGAAGAGAGATTGGTCACGTTTCTTCATGAATAAGAAGATATTGTGCCGATCGATTGATCCATTGACATCCTCAACTTAATCTTTAATATTCTTGCATACATGTTTTTCTCGAAACTCATTTGTCCTTCGGTCCAACTGTCACACAATAAACACGAAGATCTTTTAGAATAACATCATTCAAGATGTATAATTTTTTGATATCTTTCACATAACATCTGACCTTTTGCACACTTTATAGTTCAATAAGTTATTGTATCCATTACGTAATCTTTAGTCAATAACATAGTCAAGTATTCTTAAATTAGAAATTGCTTTGGAAACGTTGTTAGTTCTCTCTTGATAATTTTTGCATTATTTTGAATTTCTTAGCGATTTCGTTCATCATAATTTTTATATGACTAAGAAACATATTTGACGAGATATTCGGAAAATGTTTAGGTTGAAAGTGACGAAGAATACACATAAGCTCAATTTTGAAATCTTAAAATAATAATAACGTGATAGTGATTTAACAATTATCGTGTGTAACAATGATAAATTTTTATGTTCTCTGAAGTCTGAAAAGAAATTTGAAGTTTGTTCATGTAGATATCGCAGTTAACTCGTCCGTTATCATATGTGATTCATATTCCAATGAATCGCGTAACGCCTCCATTCTATGGCACGATATTGCAAACAAGGACGAGCTACCAGTTGATAATAATTTATTGCCGACTCTGCCTCTCTGATTCTTTTCATCTGCGTTATTTAAATACACAATCTTGTTTTCAACGATTCTCAGATTCTCGTTTAGTATTTTCATTACCTTTGTTCAAAGAGCCGGTCTTCCATGCTTCTGGTAACAAATGCAAAAAGATATCGCCAAGAAGACCACCAACTGCAAAGCTCAGTAATATTTTCAGCGTACCAGAGCTATCTGTAACAGAAATAACATCAAATTCTTTAAAAAAAGAAATGATCAATAAGAGTCGTAAATTATAATAAATTGAATTAGCAAAATTTAATAATAGAATAAAGCAATGGATTATTAATATATATTATAATCAATTTTGCTGTAAAATTTATGAAATTGTAGATAGAATTAAACACGAACAAACTGATTGATGTCATTGTACTAAAAAGTGTAGGAAGTTGAATTTAACAGATTAAAGATGTTCTAGAAAATTGTTCTGGACCTCGTCCTACGCACGCACACGCATTCATGCGTGCAAGTATGAAAAACGTGGGTGATTTTTCCTGCAGAGAACTGATAAATTACAGAGTTAAACACATGGAGCATTGATTCTTTTTGAAATATAACCTAACCTTTATTTCCTTTCCTTTAAAAGATATTGAATTCCTTAAAGGAAAAGCGAACTTAATAAGAAAAAAAGAAAGCATGCTATTATAAGGTAAATATTGTTAATCTTTTCGCGTGGAAAAATAAAGCTATCTGAATTTCCGATCAAAGAAAACTCAATTACGATTGAAATTTATCTAAACATTATCTAACGTAGATATATATCATTCGTTTAATTAAACGATATCTCGTTTTACTAACCAGATTGCCAATTATTTGTATGTATACTTCCATATTTGTGTTAGTAGAAAGCGCGTCGAAATTGAATCGGATTGTACTTGAGCCCCTTTCTGTCTGTAATTCGCGATCCATCTTATTACGTTGATGATTATGTAAAACTTGCTATCTTTGTTCCTAAAAAGGATGAATCGAATTTTATTACACTATCGTTACGTGTACAGTATCTCAACAATTAATCGTAATTTCGAATAGATATCCGAGAATTTTTGTATATAACACGGATTACTTATCGATCTTAAATCTTGCTATCGTCAAGTAATATAAGTTTTATTATAAATTGAACGAAAAAATAGATAAGATAATTACTATTGTCTCGATCTTAAAGAAAGATAATTAAATTTTCTTCTCTATTTTTATTAAATAGTAGAAATTTTCTAAATATTCATATTTCAATGATTTTAAAACGTTTGCACGTATATTTGTTGAATGAGATACAAGAGAAAGTAATGAGAAAAGAATTTCTGAAGGAGGATAATAATATAACAGAGAAGTCTGTATTCATAACGGTCAATGTACTCTTAATTAATTTTTCTACTACACCACGATGAACAATCTACATTATTATGATGTTAATTATTCTATACGATAAATACGTCTGCTTGTTTCAACTCATTTAAGCTCTGAAATTTACTGAATGATTCTTTATGGAATTTTTTTTTTTATTATTGCTAATTATATATTTATTAAAAAATCCAATTATTATTAATCATTAAATATATGTAATATAATATCTACATCAATGTCTATATTATTCAAGTTGAAAACTTAAATTGAAAATTGTGTTAAGATGTTAAGAACATTATATACACATTAACACTAAATCAAACGATTAAAAGTTAATTGGAGTAGAACAATATCAATTTTTTTCTTTATGTAAGTTAAATGTATAAATAACATCTCAAGAGTTCAGACATTCTCTTTAACGATATACAAACTCTGCTTTTGAATAATGTATATAATAATATATGTATATTTCTCTTATTAATATTATTGAACTTTGCGCTGATTTCATAATCGATATAACAGTCAATAAATTTTATTATATCTCTTGATTTTAAAATATTTACATATTGCACACGTCTTATAAGTAATACTTTGAAATTAAACATTAAAATTAACATTAACATTTCGTTGAAATTAAATATTTATTGATCATTATTTTTCTGGCAATCAAGAAAAAAGTTGTATACATTTTTAATCGCTATGATTAAAATCGTGAAAGTGTTTTGTTGACATCAGTTTTACAAATTGACGACAAAATAATAAATCATAAACAGTAAAATCAACGATGACACAACTATGATAATGGAAAAACCATTTTACATTGGTGATAATTAAAAGGTCATGTCTAATCAATTGAATTTGCATTTTTTTGAAATACATGATATTGAACATTTTTTTCTCAAATTTAAAATTAAAAGAATTCCAAGAATATTCTTCAAAAAACAGCTTTTGATCTGAAATTTTAAAGATTCTTTCTCGGAGTCATACTTTTTAAGAAATCAATGAGCAAGATATTTCGAGAATCATCGCATCAATTAACTTAAAATTTTACAAGTTTTGCTTTAAAAACGTTTATCAAAAGATAAAGTTAGAAGAACAAAAGATTCTTTTTTTATTTTAAACGAATGCCATTTTATCTAAAAAAAAAAAACTTTCGAAAAATATAATATTCTTCGTTCATCTAGATAGATCATTAGATAAAATCAATATTAAATAAAATATAAACTAATAAACTATTTTTAGATGATTCAATTCGAAAAATCCGCAGAACTTTAAAACTTTTAAACAAATTCTGAAAGAAAAGCTATTTATTCATTGCTTTAATATTTTACAGTAAAAAAATTAAAATATATTAAAAAAATATATGTATTTTTAAATAAAAAATTAGTTGTAAAAAAAGAAATTCACGCGTTTCTTCAAAAAAATATTATTAAAATATTTGCTTTTTCGACTTCTATGAATAGGCATGATCTCTTGAATTTTTTAACGGTATTGAGTTACGTGAGCTCGTTTCGCAGGTTAGATTATGCAATTCGCATAATATTATAATAGAGTTTAAACTTTCACTCAAAAATTGTATATAAAAGAAATTTTAGGATAAAGAAAATAATAGTTTAACCATCCATTTTATGATAGTTACGAAAGAATAACAATTTTCTATCATAATTGAGTATCATAAAGAAATCGATATCGAAATAGCACTCGAGAAGATCATGATTGCAAAATTCCCTGCAATATAAGCTTCTTAAGCTACAGTAATCTAATTTTAAATGTTCAATAAAAAATACACCAAAGAGCATGAACTGCAAATATCAACGTAATTTCCCGCTATTTATAATTTTCTTCTATTTCTAAAAATGATCTTCTATGAATTGATTAAAAAAAGACATTTCACATATAAAAGACAGTATCCAGAAAAGAAATGTGAAATAATGAATATGAAAAAAAAATAAATTGACGTCGAATTGATAAATTCGCATTACGATTCGGAATTTTGGAATTCATCATACGATAATGTATTAATAAATATTACCATCAGCATGCATTCATTCGATTAAAAGTAACTCAAGAAAAAATTTTTATTTCTATTCTTCTATTTATATATATTTTTCATGCTAATCAAAGCATCAAAAGCATTCATCAAAGCATATGTATCTCAATTTATTACTCCAATAAAGAATTCCTAGAATCGTTTGACTCGTGATACTTTTATGATGAAATATCAAAACAACATTGCAAAGTTAGTTTTAATTTTTTACTTGCTGTATATATTTAATTAGAGTATGAGAAGTTGTATAAATTAAAATATCGATTGTAATTTTATGAATATATAAATAATTTAAATTTGAAGCAAAGCGCAGAAAAGAAGAAAAGAAAAAATTGCAATAATTAGAATATTTATAAATAAATAATAAATAATTTATAAATAAATATCTTATTGAGCAAATAGGATTAAAATGATCTTGTAAAAATGCCATTGAAAAAATCAAATATAGATATTTTGTAGAATGAGTATAATAGTAAAAAGTAGTAGCTGGAATTATAATATCGCTCAAATTTATCAACTAATTTGATACCGTATCGAGAATCGAATAATACAATATCAATGTTATTTATTATGTCGTTTATTTTTTATCGGATATATCATTTTTATTGATAATTACTCAAGATAAATGATAGATTTTTCGCGATTTTTAATTTCAAACAAATACCATTCGTTAAAATTACAGAAAATTGTGATTACTAATACTAATAATTGTTCTCTGAACACATGACAATTGTCACCTGGCAATTGTAACAAGTTTACTCAATTACAAATGTGGAAAATAACATTTCCTCGCATAATTATACAAAATAAATGTTATTCAAGCATTGCTGGTTATTTTATTTGAACATAATATAAGAATAAACAAGTTAATATATTAAAAATAATATAATGATAAATATATAGAAAGAACGATAACAGGTTATGAGTCTGGAAATAGTATTAAAGCACTCGTTAAATTGCAACTCTAATTGTCCAACGAATCGTTTAAGAACGCAATTTCTTAATTATCATCGATAAAATGACTAACAAGATAACAAGTACGTATTCTAAAGTCAATAAGAAAATAAAGAAAATAAAGGAAAAATAAATTTCATCACGTTCTCGCTTTGAATTTCATTAAGAAATATTGAAATATTGAATAAAGGAATTCATCTTGGCGTCATTTGAACATAGTATATATATATATTAGGAACGTATATATTCGCGTAGTTCTAAAATAGGAAAATCGATTGAATGGTGTATGAAAGCATTTAAAGAAATTAAGTATTATAGCTAACAAAATTGTTCATTGGAAAGACGATGTCATTTAAAGTGCAATCGTGATTGGATTGAACGAAAAAAAATAGAGGACACATCTGTGAGTGCAATTCGTGAGTAGAGCAGTGAGACCCGCTCGATAATAGATTCATTCCAGAACAGTCGTTCCCTCGGTTAAAACAGGGGAAGTGTCGTTTCGTATGCCATCCATGCGATGATTTCCAGATTTGTCCTTAACAATCTTTTTATTCTATATGAACTAATGACGACATAGAAGGCTAACATAGATATGTTAATTTTTGAAGATACTAAACTGAATTTTTTGTTATGTAAATTTCAATTGTTTTTACTAATAAAATCAAGATCATGAATTTTTTTAAATCATTTTTTGTAAATGATTTACATAACTGATAAAATTAAAATAGTGATGACAATATAAAAAATTATTTCAGTAACAGGATCTGAGTGTAGTAGAAAGGCTATATAAGATATATAAAATCGAAGGATCGAGAAGATACATGTAAACGAGAATGTAGTCCGATCGAATAGCAGAAAATTGGTTTATAGAATTGCATTATTCGATTTACAGTTTCGTAATATAAATAAGACGTTTTTCTTAATCTCTGTATATATTTAATAAAACAAAAAAGAAAAATATGAATAACTCTTCGCAAATTCCGGTGACCATATGCAACGATTAAATTGATCAATAAGCAAATATATAATTTATGTCATAATGAAATATTAAAAAAGAACAGAAAGAAGAAAAGATTTTATTTAAGTTATAAATAAGAAAAAAAAATTCATTAAAAATTATAAGATTTAAGAAATTAATCATATTATTAGAAACATAAATAAATTCAGTTCTGCTGTTTATAATTTACTATTTAAAGAATTCAATAATTATCGATTATTTTTTACACGTAAATTTTATCTGTGAATCATGTCACAAAAAACTATTGATGAAACAATAAAAGTAAAAATTACTTTAAGAATATCATTTAGGAGTTTTCATTGGAAAAATATGTAGCGAATGCGCAGTAACGTATCGATTTATTTTCACAGTTTCCCTCCTTTGCGTCCAGGTATAATCAAAGGTGTTGGTGAAAGCCAGCTGCAACAGATGCTTCGTTCCTTCTCCAATGAGAGATTCTGGAATACCCTTCATAACCCAAGGGTCCTTTGGAATCTTAGTTTCGATAGAGAAATGAATAGACGCGCATATGTGTGCACGCATGTGAAGGCCAACAAGCCTATTCTAAAAGAGAAGTTAACGAACTGAGACGATAGAAAAATTTCAAACTTGCCTATAGGAATAATTCAGTGATGGTATCTTTATACAAAGAAGAAATACATTTGCAAAAAGTATGAAAGAATAAATAAAACTATGTTAATATTTAGTTGACATATATAATACTTTCTAATTTCAACATATAATTTCAACTAATTTCAACATAATGTCCAATGAAGAAACATTAGAATTATTTGAAAGACATATGCATTAACTACTACATGTCCTTGAATTCTTCTTACTGATTAAAACAATGTTATACACATTCACACATACATACACATATTTACATATATATATATATATATATATATATATAGTATATGTCTCACGAAGGAATTGGAAAATTCATTCGTATTCTCCACTGTGCTAACAGGTTCCATGACCTTCGTATTATATTATGTGCTATAGCGTTATTTACACATGTAAACTCTATATATTTCTCGTTCACACGATTCAAGTGTTATTACTCATGTTATTATTTATGCCACAATTTGACATTTTAATTCGAAACACGCTTTAGTCGATTTTTCGAGAATTTAAAAACAAGATTTCTCTCTTTCGATCCTATTCTTTCACTTTTTCTTATTGAAAATAAAACAATAATACTTGGGAGAGAAATTTCCTAACCTAATTATTTTAATCTTTTATATTTAAAAATTAAAAAGTTAAAAATAAATGAAAAAGTAAAAAAGAAAAAATTAACTGAAAATATTAAATAAAAAGAAAATTCATATTTTTTCTATTCTTATCTTTCTCATCTTAAAACATGATATGTATAAAAATTGTAAAAAAATTACATTTGCATTTAAAAAACTGGTTTTTTATAATTTCATTGTTGAAATATGCGTACTTAGATGCAAGTTTTACGACCTTACCTGCTTGCATTGGCGTGGAACAAGAAATTTCGCACATTAACACAGCCATGGATTCTATTAATACATTTCATATATAAGAATGCAATGAATATTATCCATTATGTCTGCATTTTCGAAATTTTATCATGTTACAATTAAAGAAAATTATAAATATGAATGTTGATTAAAAAACTTATCGTTTGTTGTAAAGATTACAATTAATTTTGAACGTTTGATACTGTTAGTATCAGAACGAAATAATTTAAGAAAAATCTTATGATTTTAAAATTTAAAATGATTTAAAAATTAAGAAGAAAAACAGTTCTTGAAAACATTTTTTATTGATACAATTAAAACAAATAGAAATATTTTGGTTTAATAAATATGTATATCTATTTCGTAGAAAAATTACGTTTCGGGGAAGACGAAATACAAAGCGATATAGCAAATAATATGCGCAGCATATCTTGCTTGTGATTATCTTTTCTTGTGATTGTGTTTTATTTTGAACATTCAAAAGAACTAATATAATAATACATCATTATTTTTATCTCGTCTACTGCGGTATTATTCAAGAAATACGAAAATTTCGTATATATTAAAATTATATGATTTTTTCCAAATAAAAAAAAAAGAAAAAAAAATATAAACAAATGAGATTGAGATAATGTGTCAATGTTAATTTCCGAAAATTCACATATTTTTCTTTAGAAACAGACAAAACAAAACAATTATCTTTGTATATTTTAAAAAATAATTTCACAAAAGTTGAAAAAATAGCGTAAAAATAAAAGTATATTTTGAACTATTTTTCTTCTTTTTTGAACAATTCGATTTATTTCGATCGATTACACGATATAATGAAATTACGCGAAATGATTTTCTGTTATGTACATTGATATGAATATAATTAGATCATAGAATTTATATTTCTTAATTTTTTAATTAATTTTATATTTCTTAAAAATATAAAATATTGAATTTCAGATACAATATTATGATTTTTTTAGAATTTATCGTTTGTTTATTATTTTTATTTAAAATCATTTCATTTAAAATGATTGGATATATTAAAAAGCATAAAAAAAATTGTAAAATTATTTATAATTTTCTTATCAAATATTTGCAAATAATAGTGACATTAAATAATTAAATTACATGAAATTATATTTAACAAAAAAAATTAATTAACGTATAAAGATAAGTATTTATTCATTTTTTAAGCCTTATTCTACTTATCATAAAGAAACATATAGTCTCACATGATAATTAATTATCAATGCATATTATTTAAGATACTATGCACATATATATATATTTATCTTTTTATTGCAATTCAGAAAAAATTAAAAAATAATTTTATAAAATATCATTAATAAAGTATTAATTTGATTAATTATTACTAATAATTTAATCTATCAACAAATAAAATATGATTAGATTTAATTATAAAATTAAATTAATTAATATCGAAGATTTTTATTGTAAACTTTATTTATATATTGCATAAATCCACATGTATATGCTATTTGCAAATTTAAAGACATTTATATTTAAAATTTTTTAAAATCAAAGAAGCAAGTCCCATTAATCATAGATATATCGTAAGTAACAAAATCAATTCATTGGTACAGATCATCTGTACTAACCTATGTGAAGCTATTTCCCGCGTGCGCATTTAAATATACACATAACCTCCCTTAGCGATTGTCAGAATCCCCCGTAGCAGAAAAACACTATGATTCCATGTGAATCATGTAGGCTCATGCTGACTAAAGAAAATAACATGACAACGAAGGAAAAGAGAATCTTTAGGTGTTATTAAAAAAAAAAAAAATATTGATTATATTACCTCCAGTTTTTATATCAGCACCTTCTTCTATGGGGATGACCAAAAGAGGAAAAATACCAGTTAATCCAATCATAGTACTTCCAAGTAAAGAAAACAGCCATGTATAATCGAAATATTCTACTGTAGTTTGCCATGGTATCCACATTTCTTGTGTAATCATTTCATACAGAAATCCGGTCGAGTCGGTACAATTTTGTTGTATACACATGTTTGCCGCCATGTTTATGTCGTGAATCAAATATTTCGTTTGTCAAAATTCTTTAAATTTTATTGATCTTTTTAATTCTTTAGTTCTGTCTTAATTACTTGATTCAAAATCGTCGTAAACGAAATATAATAAACAAATCACAATAAATTTTCTTTATAGTTTGTTTATTCAAAGATAACCTCTCTCAATAATACTTTTAAGAAAATAATTATATTTTTACACTGATTAATAGTCAATAAATAACACTAATGAATATAAAATCTTTCAAACAATGAAATTTCTTTGAGAAGAAGATTTATCAAGAAAATAAACTGGAAGATTTTGTCGAGACAACGACTACCAAGCGCCCGACTAGCCTACACTGAGGACTGAGTACGGACGCTACAAATCAGGCGGTCGCCGCCTCTACTACTGTCGTCGATCTTGTCGATCAAATCAAGCCTTCTGCTATTTTCCGCCGCAATGCGGGGGATAAGAACTGTCAATGATAAATATCAGGATAATTGTTTATGTGATTGTTTCACTCTTAGAAGATCTCACTGTTTCTTGCGTTTTTTTCTTTTATCTTGATTTTGTTTTTTCACTGTATAACTCTTTTCGCTTATTTAATTCGTATTTTTCGCTATAATATTTCATACCACCGAAATAAGGATAGAAAAAAAAAATAAAGTTTTTAAAATATTACCAGAAAAAAAAATTCTTTTTTTTGTATTTTTGTAATTCTATTTTTTTTATATTTTTAATGAAAATATTTTGAACTTCAGAAAAATTTGTATAATCACTGACGAAATGGAATAATCACTTTTACCGCCACTACTGATAAACACGATTACACAATGACACACAATATATGTTTTCAGTTCGTATATTTTTGGTTATGTTTCTTCGAATTCGTGGTGTAAGAATACAACAAGCGTGTCATACCACTAATTTACAATTAGAATTGCAATATTGTTATTCTATTTTGTTTTATATTTATCTTGTTTTGTTAATTAACAAATAATGTATAATAACACCCATTCGTCACAATGTTCAACAGCTAATGCGTATTATAACGAAGGCAATCCTTTTTATAGCTACTGAAGCGCTCCACCAAGTCACTATATATACTTAATACAGAGATGGACAATATATCTGCTTTGAGTAAGAGAGAAAAATAAAGAATAAAAGAATAAAAAAGAAAAAATAGAAAAAACAAGGAATACAAATTTAATGCAAATCAATAACAAAACAACTAATTACATACTAATTAAAACAAAAGTCAATATTTGAAAAAATTTTATTAATTATATAAAAAAAAGAAAATTCATTTTCAACATTATTGAATATTGAAATCGATAGAGGCGCTGCTGTGCTTCTTGGCTAATCTTTATATATACATATATTTAAATTTAATATAAAATAAATCAAAATATAATTTTTAATATTTAAATAATTAATGATAATATTTGATGATAAAAAAGAGATAAAATTTGTAATATTTTTTTATATATTAAAATGAAATTAATATTATATTGATATTTCAAAGTATTGAATACCAATTACATTCCAATTTTGTGCAAAATGGCTTCCATATGACAAATATGATAATTAATTTCGTTGGAATGATATTTAATATTTTTATTGCACTATTTCATATTAATTATTAATATATTTTAATGACAATAATTAAAATAAAAATCCGATTTTTAAATAGTACGAAAGTAATTATATCATTTTTAAAGATAAAAATGAACACATGATTCACTTAAAATTATTTTTTTCGTAGTGTGTTAAAGTAAATTTGTTACGATCTATTGCGAAACACCACTTTTGCAATCGCCATTTTGATGATCGATTAACGTATAAACATATACTTTTCCTTATTGTTAGATAACAATTGTCTATCAATACCTATTACTGATAAGTTTAATGAATCTGAAAACAAAGAACGGAAAGAATGAACACTACTGATAACATATTGCTATTGTATAGCTATTCGCAAAGACCAGATTAAATGAAAACTGAGATTTCTATCCGGTAAAGTGTTAATTGATTATAAAAGTATAAATAATTATTGAAAAATATCCGGTTAATTTATACCTTGTTTGTCTTTTTTTACTTTATTATATATGTATATATATATATAATATATATATTTTATATATATATTTAATAGACGCATATAACAAATTATAAATAATTATTTATATTTATACATTTATAGTTACAAATATATCTGAGATCTGCTTCATCTCGAATGCACCTACAGTTGGTAACAATGAATTTAGTAACGCCATCTTTAATTAAAATTAGCAAATATACAAAAAATATTGTATAAAATATCTTTTAAAAATATTTTTTTCTTTTCTTTAATCAATTAAAACAAATAAAAAAATATTGTTAAATATAACATTTTGTATTATCAACATTTAAAAACTTGTATCAATTATGACCACTTACAAAACATTTATATTTATAAAATAATTATAAATAAATCGAATACATTGTAAATATACATTGTCTAAAATTCAGTAAATTACAGTTAATGTACATACATTATACATGGCCTTAATTAATCAAATTGCTAATGGCGCTGAGCCAAATGCTATCTATTTGGCTTGTAATCAAAAAGATATTCAACAACTGTCATACATTTACGCTTGTCATTCAAAAAATTTTTCCAATTCGATCCTTAAAAAATCAAAATAATACAAAATCATATTTCTTATAGGTTCTTATACGTTATTTTTTTACAATGATATAAACCATATTATTATATATGATATATATATATATATGAAACCATCTTAAAAAGGATATATATATTCTTTATTGTTTTTCATATATTTTGTTTTCTATAAGCTATAAAGAAAATAAAAAATTAAAATCCGATAATTTTGAAAAAAGATATCAACATTTAATAGTTTTTTATATCATAAATTCTTGTCTTATTATAATATTATTATAATATACAATATTATATATAATATTGGATAATAAAATAAATCAATCTCAGATTTTTCAATCATTATGGAATCAAAGATTGTTTAATTTTTTTTTTATCTAACTAAATCTAAAAATAACTGCAATGAAAATGCAATATCAATAATAAGAATTCAGGATGTTTTTGGTTATCGAATTTTCAAAAAGTCCCGCAATAAGTTCGGCCCTCTGCTGGCTGTGGATCCTTGCGTGGCATAGCTCTCCAGTGAATCTATTTTAGGGAACGACAGAAAGTTAAGATTATTTTAGTTACATTTTTCACCTCCGATCTAGAACGTAGAATACTTAATATCACGATGGTTGAACTAATCGATTTTCGGCAAATACCGCGGATTGCATATGTTTCGAAATTAAAGATAAATATTTAAGAAAAAGATTGACTTAAAATTACAAAAAAATATCACAATTATAAAATAATTATATAATATAAATATTAGCTTGTTTCGTTTAAAAACTATTATTGGAAGATGACTTGTTCTTTTATTCTTCATCAAAAAACGAAGAAGAATATATGCAATCTTGATTTCCGTAATTCATCGAAATTTATATCTTTCCATATACTCGTTATATAAATTATATATGTGAAATTTTATCTTCTATGCTCAAGTGTCATTATACGTTAAAAATACCAAACATATTGTGAGAATGTGTTCGCAATGATAGAGTGTAACTTTAATCGGTATTTGCATTATATGCAAAAAGAGATATATAAATTCTAATATTTTGATATTTAAATTCGTTTTTAATCGATCGATAGATCTTCATCATGGATGCATTTGGACGAAAAATGTCCAATTGGAACGTATTAAGTGTAGAAACCGCTCTTCAACAACTGAATACTTTCGAAGAGGATTCTAAGGACTTTATAACACGTTCAAATACGGTAAATTATCAAGAAACAGAATCTCTTATCATAATTACAATTTTAAACAAACTCATTATATTGATACTCATACTTTTTCTTATATTTGTGATCATTATGCTGGTTAAAAAAATAGCAAAATGTCAAAATCATGTCTTAAAGATGAATTTCTACATGCTAGAATGTACTTACTAACTCCTTCTATCTATTCTTATCTCGTTTGACTACCTGACTGACTGCTTGTCTTTATTTATAACTAATTAAGCTGCACACGGTTTGAAATGAGAGTCCTAGAGTGGTCCAGTCAATCAGAGAACTCTTGACAAATTGGTTCTCGAACCGGGAGCATTTCTTAAATCTTTGCAATGCTTTGAGATTTTGAGTTAAATTTACATTGACATGAACAAATTTACTTTCCCGTTGACCTTTCTACATCCGATACGGTTTCAATAGTTTGATACCGATCGCGAAAGGTGTGGTTCAAAGTGATTCTTTTTTAGATTGATCGTACAACTCAACGGATAATTAATTGCATGTTCAACAATGAGCACCTGGCACAAATTGGACGTGGAATATGCCACAAGTGCTATATCTAGAGAGGATATTGGTGCTAGTATTTATCGAAAAATTGTGTCAAAAGTGGTAATTATCTAATTAAACTATACCAATCGATAGTTTTATTTTATCAGTTTGGAAAGTTTTGTAATAATAACTTTATAACTGTAGCATGCAATTTCATAGATTTTTTAAATCCGCAATCTTCTATTCATGTAAAAATATTCGTCATTGCATAATTTAACAAATCATTTGAAGAAGCATCGTAATTCGATTTGTAAGAAAAAAAAAAGTATTTAAAAAAAATGTTATCAATTTCTGTAACAAAATTCATTATCGCAGAAAGTCATTCATGACCTTTGTGATAGAAAGTGAGCAAACAAGAATTACAAACAAGAATTGTTAATTATATGAAAAAGGAAAAAAATTCAGACATAGTATTTATTCCATCTTGTTATTTAATCGAAACAGTCGATTCTTTAATATCATAATGTAATAACATCGATAATCAGATAACAAGATTCAAGTGTTTTATTAAGAAAAATGATTTAATTTTTTGTTGTAATACTTATTGACAAAACTTAAAAAACTAATCATTGATTAAAAATCTTTATATCTTTATCCTCTTTATATCTTTATATCTTTATCCTCTGAAATCAATAGATTGAAATTAAAAATAACATAGAAAGATAATAGTGAATACATCAGTAAACATTGAAAATTTTGTCGAATATGTCGAATATAAAAATTATTAAAAATAATATCAAATAGAAAAAATAAAACAAAAATTGTGGGACAAAAATTAAGAAATATATTTTAGTTGAATATAATCATAAAAAACAATGTTTGTAATTTTTATGTAAATAATAAGATGTAAATAAGATATTAGATAACCTTTGAATTTGATGATAACATTTATTTTTCATTGATTTGATTAATCGAATATAAAATTCCGTATTTCTGATTTGTTGGTGAAACTTTATTGGTGATATTTAATTGATGCCAATTAATGATTAATTCTCAATTAAATTCAAATCTGGGAATTAACTTGATTATTTAATTACATTCACATTTTTCCTTATAAGAAACGTCTTAATTAATTTAAAAAAATATTTTAAAACATTGTTTCGTTTGCATATGAATTTATACAATGTGATGATACACAAAAAATAAATTTATCCTATTTTGCTTGAGAAAAAATTAAGAAACACATTAATGTTATATTATTATTGAATAGATGAAGATTTTATTGAAGATGACAATAAAATTCAATTTATTCAAAAATGATTTCTGATTTAATATAAAAATTATGAAACGTTAAGAATACAGATTCAATCTTATATTTGATTAATCGAATGAATGTTACAAATGTCATGGAATCATGAAAGAAATTATCCCAACATCCTGCTTGGTTACATTATTTGACTAAAACGTGTTTTTTAACTTTTATCTTATAGCTTTTATTTCATTTTTTCGATTTAATATTATCTAGTCTTTATGAAGTCGTATTCGAAAAAATGTTTAATATTTATTGGTATAGGGGTTGTTATCTTTCTATTTTATTTTTTTTAATCCCGATTTATTGATTCTAGACGATAAGAAATATGAAGAAACTCGAATAGTTTGTTTTTTAATTTTTATATATCTTTGTACAAGTATCACGTGCATGAATTTGTTTTGACGTTAAGTCTCGTGTCGGAGAAGTTCCAAGTCTTACATCAACTAAATATCATTTTGGCAAATTTCTGATTTCAGATTTCTAGAAAATCTGTAACATTTTATTATTTAACAAAATGATTGTCTAGTATAAAACAAAGTAAAAACAAATCAAAAAGTACAAAAAAAATAATTATATTTTCGTTGATTTAGAGAAGAATGAAAATAATTTTCATCCATATTAAAGGGGAAATAAATGTGTTTAAATATTTTTCGAATTGGTTTTATTTTATTTGTTTTTATTATTCATGGTATACTTTTGAAAGTGAATTTATTTTAAACATCAAAATAAATAATTGTTATATAAAAATATTGATTGAGGCTTATTTATTAAATTATAATCAAATGAATTTGCGTTACACGAAGCAAGATGGAAATAAAATAAAATTATTCTGTCTTTTGTTTTACACCGTATTTTCTTTCTGCTTTATTTCTTCTAAAGCGAATTCAAATTGCTCATATAATTTATAATAAATAATTTTCAACCGATATTTTTGTATATCAATTTTTTTGTTTTATAGACTTTAGACTCAATCTTTCAAAAATGTACAAATTATATCTATATCTATATATATATATATATATTTCATACACGTGCAAAGAGTTCTAAATAAGAGCCATAGAGAAACTCGCGAATATTTCTTAAACTTTGCCCAAAATTTGACGTTTCACGGGAACACAAGGAAATGCACTTTGGCTACAGGTGACGAGTTTAAAATTAAAGCTGAGACGGACCTTCCAAGTCTTATATTTAGGACGACGCGCAGGCGCGATCCTATTAGAAATCCCGTGGAAGACTTAGAACTTCTGATTCCTTGGAATCCACCAAGTATCGCAATTTTCACGAATTACCGAACAAATATTCTTTCTTTTCTTTTCATATCGGTGTGTTATTCTTTCACGGTGCAAAGTTCGATTCGCGCTCAATTTAAATCGAAAATTCATCTGATAGATCGTCTTATCGAAGTACGCCTCGTGATAACAATTTTTCCCAAAGAAATCATCCTGAGTTAGTTATAAAAAAATAACAAGATGGATCTCGGGGGTGTCGATGTGTGGGGTCAAATTGCCGTGGAAACGTCTCAGATGTTTGTGTCTGAGGGCGGCGTGGTTAAAAGTCGTTTTGCTGGAACAGTAAGTAATGAACTTTAACGAAGAAGTATTTGGAGAAATTGGAAAAAGAGTTTAAATTTTAGATTTGATTTTCAAACTATCTGACGTAACTGATTAATTAAAAATTATTATTTCTCATTTTACCAGACGATAGAAAAACTTCCGGATAAGGTGTTGCTGAATATCTTCAGTTACCTATCTCATCGCGAGATATGCAGAGTAGCACGTGTGTGCAAGAGATGGCGGCAAATTGCTTACGACACGCGATTATGGAAACACGTATCTCTACGACCGGAAATTAGTGGATTGCACGTGAACTCGTTGGATTATCTACTTCACTTAATCAGGTAGAAAATATATTCTTGTGTAAATGACAGGAAATATTTGTTTTTAAATCAGAAATCTATTATTAACATAACACGTAAATATTAGCAATAAATATGATAAATCAAAACATAAAATAATCTTCTTTGATACGTTTCAGCACACGTTTTGGAGCTTCCTTGAGATATATAGAATTGCCGATCGAATTGATCACACACACGGTTCTTCATGAACTGGCAAACAAATGTCCTAATTTAACTCACATGCTCCTTGATTTTTCCACTGCCATGCAACTGCACGATTTTTCGGAAATGCAAGCCTTCCCAACCAAGCTGAAATACATGTGCATCTGCCTGTCAGAGGTAATTTTCATGGAGGGTTTTATGAGAAAGATTTATAACTTTATCAATGGTTTGGAGATTCTTCATCTTATAGGTTCGTGTCTTGAATAAATTCCTGTAATATCTGTTTGAACGAGAAATTATACGTAATCTTATAGGAACGTATGAGAAAGTGGAAGAAGAAGAAGAAGAAATTTATGAAGTGATAAACGTGCATAAATTAAAATCAGCAACTCCCAACTTGCGAGTGATTAATTTATATGGGATCAATTTCGTAGATGATTCACACATCGATGCATTTTCTTCCAATTGCATTCAACTCGAATGTTTAGCCGTGAATTTTTGCGCCAAAGTCACTGGCTCGACTATGAAGACTCTATTTCAAAGAAGTAGAAGATTGAAATGTCTTCTCATGCAAGGAACAAGTGCATAGTCGAAACTTCTGTCAAACTATAATTTCATTCTCAATCGTATAAATTTGAAAAAGATACTACGAATATTTTACAGATCTCCAGAGTGAATACGTGATGCAAGTAGAATGGGAAAAGTCGAGTATCCAGGAACTTGATGTGACTGCAACGGATTTGTCAACGGAATGTCTGATCGACATGTTGACCAGAATACCAGGCCTTCGTTTCTTGAGCGCAGGTCAGTTGAACGGCTTCAACGATAGCGTGTTGAAAGCCTGGGCCGAGGCTGGAAATCCTCGAAACCTGATTGCTCTGGAGTTGGATAGTTCCGATAATCTGACCGACGATGCTCTACATAAATTTTTATCAAGATACGGTCATCAACTCTGGGGACTCTCCTTATCCGGCATGCCTCACATCACCGATCAACTATGGCAAAGCGTATTACCTATATTGACCAATGCCAAGTAAGATGTGCATTTGTTTTGTTGTTTGAACACGATTCAAATCAAGTACCTAAAAAAATTATTCTTTTTTAGAATTCTCGTAATGGGAACAGTAGAAAGATTAGGCGTGAATATTCATGTGGATCAATTAATGGATGGAATTGCTAATAATTGTCCAAATTTAGAGAGGTTAGAGCTTCGCTGGGATCCAGAGAATCTCCGATTCTCCGACAAAAGTCAAAAAGCTATAGATATACTACGTGTAAAATGTATTAAATTACGATGTTTAAGCTTGAGGTAAGTTTACAACCAAAAGAAATTGAAAATGTAATAACAAATGTTCTATATTTATGGAATGCGTTTCGCATGCGTTCGCAGCGATGGAAGATACTATGAAATAGTTAAGGCTAATTTCGAACGTGCTGACAGATTGACGGTTGTTCGCACGACAACATGCTGCCGCGTGTCTAGTTACTACCTCTTAGCCAATTATAAGGATTTAATTTTTAATTAATTTTTATAACATATATATTTATAATACGATGAGAGTGATTCATAGCTTTTCCAAAAGATCAAATTATCGAAACGAATAAGTAAATTGAAAAGGTAATACATTATATTTTAAATATAATAGTTAAAATATATATTATAGATATATTATAAATATATATTATAAATATATATATATATATATATTATAAATATATATTATATAGATATTACGAAATATGTATTGTTCATTATAAATTTTTTGTTCCAGTTAATGAACCATGACAACTATAATGGAACAAATTATCTTCGATTATTTGTAGTATTACTATAAGAAGTCATGCGCTAAATAATAGATATATATTTTTTTATATTATTTTCAAGCGTGCAATACATGAGTAAATAAGTTTATTTTGAATCTTAAAAAATCATTTGATGATATTAGTGTATTAAAGGGAAAAAAAAGCCAAAAATAATGAATCGATAAAAAAGGATAATTATGTGATCAATGAAAACCATTACGAAAAACCTTGACACTTAAAAAGACAAGAATAGGATCCATTGTATCATAAGGGATTCATAATTAATCGAAACATTGTCATAGGAAAAAGTTTTCCGAGTATAATACAGGCGAGCAGAGGTACGCATGATACCTGTTCGTGTGGTATCGATTATTCGTTAATTTATTCAAGTAGCTATATAGACGACGACGTTGCACTGGCCACGGCCGGTCGGTCGATTCGCTCGATTTCATTCTCTAGCCACATGCCAGACCCTTCGTTTATATGTTGTATTATAGTCGACGTAGAACCGTCGTGGCCGACACGACTTTTCGCATGATAATTCAAAGCTTTTTGTATCTCATCGTGTTTCTTCCTCTCGCGCTCCTTTTATCCCGATCTTCCCAATGTCTGACATCGAAGAGGAGCTAGTGGTAAGAAAACTGAAGATCGTTCTTGTCGGTGATTCTGGATCCGGAAAAGTGAGTTTTCCAATGTTTCCCATCAAAAGTTTAATTGAAATCCAAAGAAATAACGTATTGTTTATTATCTTCTCATCATTGCATTTTCATAAAGAAGAAAAATATCGATTTGCTACATACAAGAAGGATCGATGTAACGATGATTTAAATTGTTTCGAGTTCAGTGTGCCTGAGCTTCAAGGGAACTAAGCAACGTATCGATTTATTTTTTTCCTACGAAGTGGTCAATGCTATTAGACATACATTATTAGACATACTTTTGCAATAAATATTTTATAGTTAGCAGTTAGTTACATTATTTATATTTATTTTTGTTGATTAATAAACGTTCAATTAGAAATTTTTGTTATTCGAAGCGTTGTATATCGATAGCAGTAAATTTCTTATAATTGAATACAGTTCAAATTGCATATTCGTGACTCAAACTATTTTGTATATATATATCTAATTCTTTCTCTTGCCAAAATTCATTTGCTTTTTAATTACTAACTTTATTACTAGTTCTCAAACAATTACTAGATGTATTGACTAGAGACGAACAGACATCGTTTCTTTCTTTAATTAAATTATTTTTTGAGATGATAGTCTGTAATAATAGAATAGCAATTCTGAATAATTGAAATTCAAGGATTCTTGTTTAGACAAGTATCGCTCAGAAATTTTGCAATAACGAGTTCACGAGACAATACACACCAACATCTGGAATCGACTTCTTTCTGAAGAACATCAGTGTCGGCTATTATAAAAACGTTAACCTACATTTATGGGATGTCGGTGGTCTGGCGCTACATGGAAACATGTTGGACAAATACGTCTTCGGCGCTCATGTAAGAAAAAAGGAATGCATCTAACAAACATTCCAATAAGATATCATAAAAAAAATATGGATCATAATTTTGTTCTTAAGGAAAAAAAAAAAACAAAATTTTTTTCAGATCATTCTTTTAGTTTACGATGTTACGAATAGTTTCAGTTTTGAAGTTCTAGAAGAATGGATAGATAAAATCAGAAAATTAAGCAGTAACTATGAGGAAATACCATTGATGGCTGTAGTTGGCAATAAATGCGATATGGAACATCAAAGGACGGTAAAAAAGGATCGAACACACAAATTTGCCGCAGACAATGGATTCCCGTCTCATGATGTTTCCGCTAGAACTGGTGAAGCGGTAAAAAATTCTTTAAACAATGAATAAAACGTTATCCTGTTCTTCGTTTTAAAAAATTGATTTTTGTTTCAGGTTTCTTTATGCATAGTAACTTTAGCTGCACAAATCTTGGGTGTTCGATTAACGAAAACAGATCAAGATTATCACAAACCTATAATAATTGCGGAAATAGGTGATACAGTAGATATGAACACGGTTCAAAAAGTTGTGAAAAGAATCCCCACAAAGAGACATACTCAAATTCCCTTTCATCCCCATTTCCCTAGTTCGAAATCAACAGTTTGCGTGTTACAATGAAAATTATCGCAACTAGAAATGAATTTTATAATACAATATTTTTTTCACGCACAGCTAGAACAGATTTTGTACAAAATAGAATAGAAACGAGAAACATGAATGACATGTACATAAGATATTTAAGCAAATATTTTTCGCTACTTTCTTACTATTTCTTATTATAAGAATTCACAATATTATTTTGAGGGGCCAATACAATAAACTAGTGTCTTCTTTATAGATTTAAAAACAAATTTATTTATCGATAAGATCTTACTATTTACGATAATATGGATCAACGTAAGAAACGTTGTTAAAAATACTTTTACAATAATGGTAATATTATTCATTATAATGATGTACATATACTGTTGATTGAATATATGTCATGAGTTTGTATTCAAATCTTCGATGATTTTATATAAATGTTTGTGGAAAGATTCTTTAATATTGAAAATTATTATTTAAGAAATCATGATATAAGAAAAATTCTGTAATTAATTGTAAATATTGTAAGATTAAGTAAAATATTATAACAGTTAAAGATCGAGAGAAAAATTATTCGATTGTTAAAAAAATTATAGATGTATCTCTATTTTTATAAACTATGGATTCACTGATTTTTTTCTATATCTAATTATTAATGGCACTAATCATGCAAAACAATACGTGTACTAAAACCATAAACATACAAAACAAAACGCATACAACAACGAGACGAATATTTAACAAATAAGAATAAGTAAAATCGCAGTATGTGCATATTAAAATAATCATTTCGAAAAACATATAAAATATACATAGGAAACATTAAAGTTTTACATTAAAACAAAACATTAAAATTTGAATTGAGAATTAATATGACATAGATATTTATAAAACAGTATATAATATTTTTCATTGTTCAAACAATATTACTAATAATCAAATAATTAATTAACTTTGGAATTAATTCTTAAATTAACTTCACTAAATATATATATGATATTATATATATTCTAGAAATGCTAATTAGAAAACTTTTGTTCGCTTGTCAATTATAAATTATTAAAAATTTGTATACGAATGTTTAAATAAATTAAGAAAAGAAATTCATTTTTCGAAAGCAAATGAACATTAATTTACAGATGGTGTAGTCGATAAAATTTGATGCACTTCAATTGAGATATAGTATCCTATATGTTAGACATATGGTGCAAAATTATAATTTTATAGATTCTATATACTATGGATTATTTATTTATTCCTTTAGAAAAGAAGAATTCCAAATGTCTCGATTAATATATCGTTTCTTTGTTTATTCTAGTGCGATCTTCAGTCTCATATTACATTGTATGGAAATTATTCGTTTAGTTATAAATCAGATTTTGTTAATGGTCTTCTTGGCCATATGTTCTTTTCTAAAATTTTTTCTTTAGCCTCCCATAATTGAGTTAATTTCTCATTTAAAGGATCAATATATGTTTCTATCCACTCTTGTATGGTATAATTATCATATATATTTTCCATAGATGATCTTATTTCTTTCTCAATATACATTATTTCCATCTTATATTTATCTAAATCAGCAATTGCTCTTTCTACATGACTAGGATTTGAAAATGCATATTTTAAATTGTATGATTTCAACCATCCTTTAAAGGTATTATCCTGCTCCATTTTATTGACTTCTTGAGTCAAAGAAAATAATCTCAATGTGGCAGCATAAATAGATACACCATGATAATTACATTTGGTCCAACCATATTGAGGTTCTGGAATATTTAAAGAAATGATACCCTCACATTGTAAAGCTTGTAATACTGAAGTAGGTACTTCTATTGGGAATCTACATAAATCTGGAGCTTGTAAGATAGCTAAATTTACAGCAAGTGAGGGTATGGCAGATGGTAAAAGTTCACAAAGTACACTAAAATGATCATATCTTTGCCACCCAGTTAAAATTGCACCCTTAAATCTAATCTGAGCAGAATATCTATTAATAATTTCTAACCAACGTTGATGGTTTTCTATATGATAAGCAATATCTGTATAATATCTATCTGGTGCAGTGGCACCTTTGAAAGCTGTAGCAATCCAAATATTCTTCCAAACTGATGCATAGCTTTCCCACAATTGATTTGTTAATGATACTCCAGGATCAGTAGTATATTTCCAAACGACAGGTTCTACCATTAAATGTAAACCTCTGTCTATTATTTCTTCAGATGCTATTTCTCTAAATTCATCATCCCACATAAGAATTGTAAGTTCTGGATATTTATTTTTTATATACTTTGCTACTTTTGAAACATGATCCAAGAATAATTGTTTTTTATCCCATTGTTTTTTAATTATTATATCTGAACATCTCGAACATTCTCCTATTTGATAAACTTCATCAGCTCCAATATGTAAATGCTTTATATCAGGATGCGCTTCTATTATTTGATCTATCATTTCATATATCAATGGAAGAGTTTTATTATATGTAGGACATAAAACTTGTGGATAACGTGAAACTTCTCTATAATCTTTATATTTATCTAATTTTAGAACAAATTCCATATGACCAAAAGTTTGAATCAATGGTATAACTATGAGCTGATTCTCGTTAGCTATTTTTTGAATGTTAGTAATATCCCTCTTGGTATAACAATTACCTGCACTGATATTTTGTATTATTCCTTCAAAAGGAAACATATCCTCATATTCTATAAGTATACCAGTGGCACCTAATTTTTTGAGCAAACGTAGCAGGTACTTATAATAACTTGCTTTTGGAGGAGCACCCTTTAAATCCAAATGTACAATTTTATGACCTTTGAACAAGGGAACTTCTATATGTGATTTACCATAATTGAAATCACTGAATAGTTTGCCTCCACCACTTTTTAATTTTTCCATTATATGAGCCTCTATTTGTTGTTTTCTGGCAATACTAAGAGGATTCTCTGTGAGATCACTTAATGGATAAACTTCTTCCATTTTAAGTCGTGGACTTAATTTATTGGACGTAATGTCCTTGACCTCATTACCGAGAATATGATAAATAATAATCAATAGGGTAAAACTGATCATTATAATGATCATTAAAGAGGCTCTGCCTCTTAGTCGCGTCATGATTGTCAATCCAGCAGAACATTAAGATTAATTTATTATTATTTATATTTAATCGAAGCTTTTGTTCTTTATGGCACAATTCTTCTTAATGAATGTCAATTCTTGTACCTAATATTGTTTTTAAGCTCGTGATTCAAATTGAACTTACAAATTACAATATGGTTTCATTATCACAAAATAATATAATAATTTTTAGTTAACTGTTTCGCTATGAAACAATATAAATTTTTTCTTTATCACAGATGAAGGATAGAAATAATAGATAATTGTTTCTGCTATATATATATATTATATATATAATATATATAATATATATATATATATAATAGTAATAAATGTTATCACTATAGAGAATCAGGTTAGACAACTGTTAATAATATAATTGATATGAAAATTAATATGAAAATTACAAGATATTTTGCATTAGTCTAATAAAGTTTTTTATATATCTAATTTATACATATAATTATTTTACTTAAAAAAGAGACAAAAATATCATAGGAACATTTTTGATCTAATATGTATGTATCTTTATAATATCTCTATATAATTATTGAATATTATCGCAAATGTGATAATAATATTCTCTAAATTATATAACATTTTTTATATTATACAAGTACTATATTATCTATAAAACTTTCATTAATTATTATAGATTGTATAAAATAAAACTTTTAAATTAATAATATTTTTTAACTTTTCAATAATAAAATACATAATTAATAAATATCATTTTAATATTTTATAGAATAATAGAAAATATTTTATACTATTAGTAAAGAAATATTAATTAACAATTCACAATTTATATCATTGGATTTCGAATGAATATATCAAATCAGGGCTGCCACTGTCATACATTTAATCTATAAATAACAGCTCATCATTCTGTACTGAATTTACTTAATGAAATCCAGGAGAAGTATGATAATTTATGACGATATTGTATCAAGGCAAGTATTTACGCTGCAATCTTATTTGGATTCTTCGAAATATTCTTTTTAAATCATTGATTTATCGTCGAGTAAAACATGTTAAGACAAAGACTAAATTTGATCAATAATTTATGCATAAAATAACGTTCATTAAGCATATAAAATACAGAATGAAGATCTAGTCGAATCTAAGAATGAAAATAGAGTTCTCATATGTTTAACAAGAAAATAATCAAAGACGAGCGAAATCGGAGAGGCTCGTAGTCGTGTAATCGAATCCTTAGCAGCGAAATCTTAAATCCTAGTCCTTTATCTTATTTCCAGTTTCCGCGAACTGTACAGCCCACCCGTTACATACTTAATGAACGTGACTCATATCTCTTTAGTTATGACGAGAGTAGGGGAATAATTCTAGACAATAAAGCTGTTTAATGATGCCACTCTACGGGAGTTTAAACCATACGCTTGGAATAACGCGCGTTTTGCGATCTTTACGATTCTAACTTGTTATAATATTCAATATGATTAATTTTATATACGCATTATATTTATAATTTAATTATTATTTTATTTTTCCATAATGTATTACGATATATATGTATATATAAATATATATTTCATATATGTATAATTAATATATATATATAATTAAGTAGTTATTAAAAATAAAAATATAAATAAAACAAGAGAAAAATAATTCTTTTTGCAAAAAAAAAAAAATAAATAAATAAAAAAAATAATGAAATGAAACAAATAAACAAATCTTTTTCGTATTTATACAACACGTAAAAAGAGAAATATTTCTTTTCCAGAAAATATTATTATCAAGAAAAAGTTAAATTTTGAATTTTGTCGTTATTACGTATTGGTGTTGTAAATCTTGTATAAAAAAATGTAAAGCTCTCCCGTGATCTTCATTTTTTTAAGTATGAAAATAAATTTTACGATCAATAAATTTTACGATCATAAATAATATTTAAGTGACATGATAAAATATCTAACAAATATCTAAAAATAATAAAAGTATTGGATTTTTGGAAACATTATTGTTTTTTCGAAACATTATTACCAATGATAATATATTGTTATTGGTAAATGATAATAAACGTGTGCTTTACTGAAAACTGTTTAATTCTTTTCTATTTTCTTCCATTAATTCGCAAAAGCGTCAACGTGCTTTCATAGCAACCGAATCGAGACAAAGACTTAGCTTCAACGATTATTCAGAAATCATGACTCAAATCCACATATGTAGACGCTGTATCTATATATTTATTCAGTTTTTTTTTTGCGATTGTGCTTGCAGCTGTGTAAAAAAAAAAAAAAAACTGTATTGGAAGGAAATCATAAAAATCGGTAATAATATTGTTTCGTTAATGCACCTGATTTCTGCATACTTTAACGAGTACATAATATCTGCATATATTTGGGTTATCGATCCAGTAAACTGAAACTCGAGAGGCAAAATCTTTGTTTTGAAACAGAAGTTCAATACGCTCGATTAAAATAATTATGTGTAAGTATATTTCTTCATGGGTTGATGTTATTCGACGAATATAATTTTATCATTTATTGCCTTCCTCTGTTTTAAAATTTATCAAAACTGTTGCGCGAAAAGCACCGAAATCTGTTATTCGCCTTGGTATGCATAAAGTATACATTTGATGTTTGTCAAAGTTGATAACACAAGCAAATCGCGGTGAATGTCTTTGACGATCGTTTTGATTAAGCAATGTGTCAAAGACAGTCGCGTACTCGGTGCACATTCCCTTGTGGAAATTCTCGATCGTGGGCACATATACATATTACGTGTTTTCGTGTTTCAAAATATACATATGTAAGTATTACATTCTCAAAAGCCTTTCCAGGCTGACAGATCCGGTGATAAGGCGTATTATTAAGGAGAACTCTGCTCGATGCACTGAACAAGAAACGGCCAATTACGCGAGAAAACGTTTCTTCGTTCGTTTTATATATGCTATCAAAGAAGTGTCAGTGAACAGCCGTCTTTGTTAGCACTTTACAGAGCAACAAGAACAATTAATGGATCAATCGAAATAACATAAATCTCAATACGCCAAAGATAATTTAAAAAAAAAAAAAAAAGAGAGAGAACGGTAAGAGAAATGAAATGAAAAGAAAAATAGAGTCTTTTTTTATCGAGTCAATCCGATCCTTGACAATTTCATTTCTTCTTCAAAAATGCATCGCGAAATATAAATGTATAAACAAAAGAAAGAAAGTGCGCGTGGCGCAATTTTTCGCTGACAATGAGGAAACCTTGCGGCCACTAACGCACACATAACGACGACATTCATTAAAGGAAGGGCACGCACTCTCGGGATCTTTCGACTTGTCTGGAACCTCCTGAGATAACGTGACATTACGGTCAGCCGTGCGAGCAGTATGCGCGCGAACGTCGAAGAACGCGCACCTTCTTTCTTCTTTTCTATCGTTCTTTGTTTCGTTCATCGAATCCGTTCTTCCGTTAAAAAAAAAAAAAAAGAAAAAATCTTTCATCGTAAAATATTATTCAATATAATATAATTTCTAAAAAATGCAGTGACGTGTCCAATCGTGATATACATATATAGATCAAATACATAGTGTCGAATTTCGCAGTATCTGTTAAAATAAGTAAGTTCTATAATATAAGTTCCTCTCTTTTTCTTTCTTCTCTATCTATACCGCGTAATTCCTTCGAGACTAACGTAACAACGTAATCGTTCCCACTAAGAAGAATGTGGGAACTCGCGTCCAAAGGAAAGTGTATACGGCGTAAAAAAACATCATTTGACAGTACTTCAACATCCACCAGCGCGAAACAGGAAAAGTGAAAGGATTTCATAGACTTCCCGTGTAGTCGATCCGGCACGTGATTCTGCCATTCGTACGTGCAACCGTAAAATTACTGTTCAACTGTTTTCTTGACCGACTTTGAATCCCCTCTGGTAGACCGTTGCAAAGTTTTACAATTCGGCAGATCTGCGGCGAACGAATTCCACATCCAGATCGAGAAACGCGTTGGATCGAATCGAATCGATCTTTCATCTAATTTAATCGATTAAACGTAAATGGTGAAACGAATATATATGTACGAACCAATGGTGATCGATTGAATTGCAAGTGGTATGCACGCACGGAAAAGTGCAACGATCCTACGTGACCATCGACCTCCTGTATTGAAGTTCGCATGACACGGCACGTTTCGAATTATCATTTTGCTCTTCCTCGACACGGCGACGTCCGTTGTCGCCGAGTTCGCCAGACGCGAAGCTTGAATTAAAAATAGTTGGGAGCCGGTGCAAAAACATCTTCGATATTTCCATAAAACAGCGGTGATTTGTCTGGAAAGACAGATTTTATTGGGCGGACAGATAAAGCGTTTGTTGGAAAGAAGAATTTCCTGGATTAATCGTAAATTTAATTACTCGATAGTATTCGTCATTCGAATATTATCCGGATAATTCATAAGTGTCTTCACCTGTCGTATTGTTATAGTTTTCGTTAGCGTTAGAAATTACCAAGTAGCATTCATAATAATGATTCAACTGTGCCAACAAGTTAGTCAGAGATCAGTGTTCGATCAACCGTGGACGATAAAGATATACACGTTGTTGTCCACCTCTGTGTGGGAAATACAGTAAAAATTTCTAAAAATCTGTAATTTACTACGCTATTTAGAGTCGTTAACTAAAGGACTATCTGATCCATTTATCGATAGATTATTCGAATTTTTCCATGTCGAGGCATTTACGATCGTTCTCGAGTAATTACGACGCATTCCAACGAATTAACTTCGAAATATTTGCGGGAGATCTGGCTGCCTCCCACGAAGACCAACGACACGTGTCTTCGTATTCTTCACGGAGTTGTAAGTGAATACGCGTAATATACGTTTCTTCGTTCCTCTTTCTTTCTTTCTTTCTTTCCTTTTTAATACGTGACTATTATTAAATCGAACTCGTGTAAACAAAGTAATATCATTGGAAATTCGATCGAGCAACTAGCTAGCAACGAGTGTCAGCATCAATGAATAGGGAACAATTGGACAATGACGTAAGACGTACAGGAATAACATTTAAAATTCGAGGAGTGGCCATCGTGTTAATACCAATTCGTCTGATTGGGATTGACATGTTGCATATTGTATTTCATCGATCTACACCGATCTGTGCTACGAAACTGCCTTAAGCCGGTATATTCCCATTTCTATTTCCCTCCNTCTCTCTCTCTCTCTCTCTCTCTCTCTCTCTCTCTCTCTCTCTCTCTCTCTCTCCTGTTTATT